CCAGCATAGTAAACCATGTGGTTGTCAGATTCAAAATGGCCAATACCAGTCCAATTCAGCTCACTAATACCTAAGATATAGATGTTTATGCGTTCCATTTCATTTTTGATAGTTTCCAATTTTCCTAGATTCATACTTTGTACATTCTATGTTCCGATTATTAATGGATGTTACAGTTGTTTCTCTTCATTTTGAGTTGTGCCCCATCAGCAAATGAAGGTCCCAAGGGCTGTACTCCATCCGCTTCATCACGGTCAACTCTGCTTTGAGGAGGCAGCTCTTCTCCAGTTGCATTTTGAGTGCCTTCCAACCTGAAGGGCTCATTTTCTGGCACTGTATCTGACAATGTTTCTCTGCTATTCTTAGGTTTTCAGTGACGAAATATTCGGAAGTAGTTCATCACTCTTTTCTTCTTAGTCTGTCTTCGCCTGGATGCTCATCTGAAACCTGTCCACCATGGGTGACCCTGCTGGTATTTAAAATACTGGTGGCATAGCTTCCAGAATCACAGCAATTGACAAGCCACCACATTACTACAAACTGACAGATGAGAGGTGGGACTGTGATTGTATTGAGGGTTATTTAGCATTATGCTGTGGTTGGGCCAAAGAAACATAAAACTTTCCTACATAGACATAAAAGCAAATGAAAGCTGACTTTTCTTGCAGAATCATTTTTAGGAGTTGCAGGCAGTTGTATGCAGTAGCTTTCAGTTTTCCATGATGTCTAGGCCTGCCGGTCTTGGCTTTTCCCACATGGTCCCACGATGGCTGCTGCAGCATCAGCCATGAAGGGGGAGATATTCAAGCAGGAAAAGGGAAGGAGGATGTCTCTTTTCTCAAAGTTAAGAGCTTTCCCAGCACCCATAGGTGTCTTTGGCCAAAGCTTTGTTTCTTTGCCCACTCTAGTGAAGCTGGCACAGGAAAAAGAATTGGGAATGTGTTTGTCGGATAAGTCTTTGTATTTACCACAGTGTCTCTCTGGCATTCAATATTTATGAAAAAAAAAAGGTTACCCCTTGTCAACTGTCTGGTTGCTAATCATCAACTGTATCCTCCAGCTGGTTTGGTCACTTACTAAGGAAATTAATACAAGTCTTATAGTTGGAGAACTGAGCATTTGTTTTTATCAGCGTGCACTCTATTTTATTCCCATATGTTCCTTTTGGACACAGATGCAGACATGCACATACTACTTACACAGCATAGTCCAGGTAGACCATTTGAACCTAGGTGGAATGCCTCCCCAGTTCAGTGGGCCTTGTCAGTTTACTGTAAGTCAGAAGGAGGCAGTAGTAGCATGGCCTGTTGTCTTTTTCTTCAGAGAATTCCACAACAGGAAATAATCGGGCACTGCACTGTTTGTTGTCTCATTTTATACATTGCAAAACATCATCATTGAGGAGTAGGAAACTTTCATGATTGTTAAAATACCATTTTTCCTCACATGAGTAGTTTTGCTTCATTTTGTTGTAGCTGTGTAGCATATTGTGATGGGAATGGATGTTTGTGTGATTTGGGGATGGGAGGATAGAAACATGTTACTGTATCTGACTATATAAATGTCGCATTTGAAAAGACAACAAAAGCAAAGTTTATCAGTAATGACAATCTGGAATGAAAAAGTTCAATGTATGACGTATTTCATTCCTTTTTTACAAATCTCAATATAATATAGTAAGTAGAGCGTGTAAGTAAACAAACTGTAAGATCTTGAAAGAAACTTTCAACCTCATGAGTCAGAGTAATAAGCAAATTTAAATTAATGAAATTTCATTTTTATCCCTCTTAAATTTGAAAACATTCAAAGGGTTGGTAAATGGTATTAGGAAGCAGGCAATTTGATGATCTGTGGTTGGGAATGTTAATTGGTAAGATCTTTTTGAAGAGCTAATTTTTGGCAATGTGTATAAAATTTTTTTTTTA